GGTTGCATAAACTGGTTTGGTGGGAGAAAACCGGCTCCTAATCAATTAAGCCACTCCAGTCGATTTGTGCCAAAAAATAATTTGTTTGGAAAATAACTTAAAAAGCGAATAAACGGGAAGTGCAAAGTTCCCGTTCATTTTGTGTAAACAAATTTAGAAAATTGGTCAAAATTATATATAAATATTTGTCAATAAAATCCATTAATTATGTAATTATGCTGGATTTCAAAATGGTTTTGTGAAATATGTTTTATTAAATAGACTATTATTTAATTATATTTATTTATCTGTTATTATTCTTTAAAAATAGTTGTTTAGCATAGTTTAAATGAAGTTCAATGAACATATTAAATATTTTACATATAACGATAAGAATTTCGAAAAAGATCGGAGAACAGGAAAAAATAATATAGTAATTGTGAGAAAGGGAAAAAATCGAATAATCCTAAAAAATTGTTTTTTTCTTTCTAAGTTTTGGTAAATACAGATTTTAATCCATAAAAACTTAATACTTTATCGTTAAAATCCGTTGCCGTGCTGACCTCAATGTTTGGATTTTGTGGGAGGGGCTCTTTTCCGCCTGAGTCTTTTAATTAAAAGAATAGAATTTGCTGTTTTCTTGGGGCCAGAGGAAATAAGGTCGCCAGGGCCTTAATAGCGCAGCTTTCCCGTGTTTGCACAAAGATAAAAACCAGAAACTTTATAGCCGACCGCAGCGAAATAGATAAAAATGGAAATAATCAAGCAAAACCGCGACTAGGCTGTGATTTATGCGATATCGTAGTGTCTCCGATAAGGCACGCACCCCAAATGCGCCAAATTCCCTCGCCTAGAAAAACTGCATCGGGTGAATCGACCCGCGTCTTTGGCCCCTGAGGAAGTGCAGTTTTTGAAGGCAAACAGCACCGAGGCAGCCAGGGAAAATGTGAATCACGACGACGACGGCTGACGGCTGACGACTGACGCGCCAAAAACTGATAAGACAACAAAGAAAATCACATGTGAAAGTAGGGAAAAGGAAAATCTCGAGGCGGCAAAAGGTGCGCTGCTGAGTACGCCAGATAAATTGTGAAACGGAAATGAAACACCTACGCAAATAGTGGCAACGATGTGCAGACACAGCCGCAAACAAGCAACATCCTAATTTAGATAAGAGCCGCCAGTTGAGTCCATCCGAGTTTTATGGCCCCGAAGAAAGTAATCGCCACCCCATTCCATCCCGATCCTTAAACCTAATTAATGCAGCGTCCCGCTCGCCATCACCCTTTTCCCAACCGATTGCTCTAGTTTCGTTTCACCTTTGGGTGAGGTACACCTACAACATATAGTATGTACTATATACTATATACATATCGGCGGATGCTGGACTGCCGGGATGCGGTTCTCCAGCAATTGTCTGCGTGGCAGGGGCAGCCATAAAATTGGCATTGTTTCTACGGTAAACACGCGCGCAATGCGGTCGTAAAACAAAAGACGCTTTTATGGTAACGCTCATTACGGCACACGCAGTGCAAAGACCTAGATACACACGCAGCCGCAGATACGGATACCGATTCATAGACCCATGGCGAAATACCTAGCAGATACACCTCAAATTCTCAATGCCCATAAACTCTGCAAATACAAATTAAACATCAAAGTCGTAAGAAAATAATATTTTTCTTATCTGAAACACTTGGTAAATTTTTTGCTTTTGGAATTTTTATAAAAAATGTTCAAGTAAAATAATCAATGCAATATAAGTAAAAATCTAAATTATAATTCTTATTTAAAGAACACAATTTTGAAAATGAATTTGAGAAAAATTATATTTTACAATAAAAGAGACAATTTAAAAACATATTTAAAAACTTTTCTCTAATCAATTTCATGGAAATGTTGATACAAATGAATGAATAATTAGTTAAAAAGAGCAGAAACAAGATTCAACTGCTAATCAAAACCGGCTAGTCGACATGTGTATATGTTAAATGGGACAAACGAAATGTATGGAAAATCCCTCTCCTTTTTTGCATTTGTTATCTAAGTCGTTATATGGTAAAATCATGTAATTATCCCAAAGAGAAACGCCAAGTAAACGAATGCAAGATCTCGATTTGTTTGCGCTGCATATTAGAACGTTGTGATCATCTGCTGCTGTTGCAAATGATTTAATAATCACTAATGAGCGCCGATAATTGGGTTAAGCCAAAAAATACAAAACAAATAAAACAACGAAAAACCGTTTAAACGACATTGATGCTCGTCGTCCGATGTCCAATGTCCGATGTGCGATGGTGTGGATTCATATGCGGCCGGGTATTTTAATTTGTGTGAAAATATTGTTCAAACAAATAAATCAACAATAACAAATAATAACAATAAAAATAAATATTATACATATTACGGCGATACACCGATATAGATACAGATACGGATACATGCCACCGTCGGTCGTTGGACGTCATCTATTTGAGAAATGTTGGTCAAATGCTTTGATAGATATATTTTTGTAAAGTCATTGCCACACGGCGCATGCGTCACACAAATGCTTAAAACAAACAGAAAGCGCAGCGTTTTAAAGCCATATCAACACACAACTCCACCACCAACAAAATCAAAACAACGTCGGGAAAAAAGTAGCAAAGCAAATATTTTCCATAAATATCCATCTGGGGATGCAGGGGGCCATTGGGGCGCCAAACAATTGAAACGAATTAAAAAGTTTGAGCATGGCTTAGACCCGATTTGCCGCCGAGTGCAGCCGAACCAACTGTATCAAATCGTACCGCTGCAAAACGCAACCGAAACGCAAACCGAAACGTCAACGGATCCGACCTACAGTGGCGCGCTTTTAAAGCAAATAAATAAATAGATAAATGACTAAAAGGTAAATAAATACACAATTTTTGGACTGCCTGGCATTACTATTTGCAGAGAGTCTACGCCAAAAAAAGCACACATTTGATGCGCCCGCCCACACCGCAAACATTAATGAGCCAAAGCCACTTGAATTGCCTGTGAAATACAATAAAAATATTAAATATTTAAGCACATTACGGTTATTAGAAGTGCACATAAACATTTGGGTACATATGTGTTCAGTCGCCTAAAGTGTTTGGTGTCTAATGATCATGATGATGGGATATAGATATCCGAATGGGGCAGGTCAGATGAAGTGGAAAGGAAACACATTTTAGATACGGGGATTCCTGTAATTCATTCGGATTTTAAAAGCGATTGTTTCTGAATCACTTTCATTTACCTTTTATCTTATCTTGGATCTGATAATAATTATCAGATTGTTATTTAAATATTTGTATCATTATAGTGAGGATGATTTCTCAGTAGATCTAATGTACAACGGAAATGGTTTTTATTAACGTGATCGTGAATCATATCTTTTACTAGAAAAAAGATGATATTACCAAGTGATTTCATTTGTAAATACATTTGAAAGTACTCAACACTATAATATAGTCTTCTAACTCGAAGACTCAAAACAAAGAAAATTTGACTACCAGAACGGTTTTTCCTTTTATAATAAATTTAAATAATAATAATTCATAAATACTTATTGATTGTAATTGGAAAATGTATTTACATGAAAATAGAACATTTTAAGAATCGCGTTTAAGACGATGTTATGAATCTAAGGACCATGCGCCTAGATGTAGACTATGAAAATGTGAGAGGAAATGGAACTGCTGCATTGAGAAATGGAAGCGTGTTGCGGAAATTCCCCGCATTTCCTCCCACTCAGGTAGATCTTAATTGAGTAAAAACTTTCATTGAGAAACGAGACAATTGTCCGTTTATGGCCGCAATAATGAGCCTGGCTCACACACACACACACACTGTAGAGGACATACACACTCACAGACACACAAATACACTTGGCTGGGCGAAAGGGTTAAGCGGAGAATATGCACAATGAAAGGCGTCTGGTTTATGGCCGAAATTAAAATGCGTTTTATCCGTGGCCATAAACGTGGATGGATGGATGGGTGAGTGTAGTACCAGGAAGTATCCGCCAGCACGCGCTATCAATGAACTGCGGATATTTCGGGCACTCAGGTAGGATGTGTGAGATGTGAGGCTGAGATGTGGACCTGGACCTGGGCCTCCAGAACTGGGTCACTTTCGCAATGACTGGCCAAAAAGGAGAACTGCGCCGCTGTGTTCTGCTGCTGCTGCTGCCGGTCGCGATGCCTCGCCACGAATGCGAATGGGAATGAATGAGAGTGACATTGGCATACCTTAACCTCAAAAAAAGCCAAACGAACGAGCGCTGAAATGCGGAAAAAACTGACAGAACAAAAAACACACACCGCACACACCACACACACCACACACACACCGCACACACATATTATTAAATGTCTTCTTTGGGAGCCAAGGCGTACTTTTTGTTTCTCACATTCTCTGGCAAAACAGAGCGTCGTCGGAGTCTCAGTCTCCCCAGAGATTCCGATTCCCGTCTCCAGACCCCGTCTATCTTCTATTTTCCCTACACTTTTTTCCATTTTCGGCTACCGCTCCAGAGCGAGAGCGAGAACGAGAGCGAGCGATTATTGATCGCATTAGGGAAAATCGTTAACTGTAACATGGCGTCGCTCAGCATTAGCCGAGTATAACTGTATCTGTATGTGTGTCTGTATCTCTGCCTCTATCCGTATGCCTATCTGTGTATCTGCATCTGTGAGGGTGTGTGAGTGGAGGGCGTTGCTCACTGGCCATTGGCCACGCCCCCTCTGGGCCAGTTGCCTGGCAACCGGCACTGCTCTGTTGTCACAAGAGGCCAACGGACCAATGCGCTTGCGCCGACGCACCACTGTGTACGTAAGAGAACCGCCGCCTGTCATTGGTAACTCCTCGCCGGTGGTGAGACGCACTATCCAGCGGGCCATTGGTGAGAACGAGTCGGAGTTGTTGCTGCCTCGGCCGCCGCCGCTGCCTCGGTCGGCGTCGCTCGCTGCCGACGTCGGCACTTGAGCGCGGCTCGAACAATATTTGTTGGCAGCAAGCGCAAGCCAAATAGTAGACAAGCGTTCCCCTCTGCAAACAGTCACATTCAAGAGCTCAAGCCAAAGAGACACTCGAGCGGACCAGCAGCAGCAGCAGCAACATCAGCAACATCAGCAACAGCAGCAACAGCAGCAGCACCCAGCACACAGCAACCTCAGTGCTCCAGCTCCCAGCTTCAGACTTCAGTGGCCAACAGCCAGCTAAATATCCACGTTCGTGCGTCGGTGTTTTGTGGCCGCGCCGTGCGGCAGACAACAAAAATAAAATAAAGCAAAGAAAAGTAAAGAAAAAGAATCAAAATCAAAATAGCAAATAATATATATAGAGCCGCATTATTTTATATATCCCGCACAAATAAATTAATCGCAGTGTTCGAGTGTGCACAAACAAAAGCTTAGAACTTTCGCCAGCCCAAAACAAACAAGTGACAAACAAGTGCGCCGAGTGCTCTCGATAAAATGCCAGAAAAATGCAAATCCATTGAGGCAGTGTTAGTGCATTGAGATTTATATATCGAAAACAAAGCCACGTTTCACGCACACTTTTCATTTTTTCGTTTATAATAACGCGTTGTGCACAACGCGTTGCCTTTTCCATCGATCGACCAGAGGGCAGCGCGTCCAAAAGCCGGCAACATAACGGCGCAACTATTGAACAGCTTTCTGAAGGGTAGCCCCCACCAGACCACCATTGACATCATGCAGAAGCTCTACGCGGAGCCGCCGCCCAGCAGTGCTCCGGTGAGCATGGCCAGTTCGGGCGGTCCTCCCTCCGGCGGGGGCGGTGGAGGGGGAGGCGGCGGCGGAGGAGGCGGTGGCCCCCGCCGCCCAGCAACCAGAACCCGAATCCGACGAGCAACGGCGGCACCATGAGTCCCCTGGCCCGCTCCGCCTACACAATGAACAGCATGGGCCTGCCGGTGGGCGGCATGTCCTCCGTTTCGCCACAGGCGGCGGCCACCTTCAGCTCCAGCGTCCTGGACTCGGCGGCGGCGGTGGCCAGCATGAGCGCCAGCATGAGTGCCAGCATGAGTGCCAGCATGAGCGCCAGCATGAACGCCAGCATGAACGGGAGCATGGGTGCGGCGGCCATGAACTCGATGGGCGGCAACTGCATGACCCCCAGTTCGATGAGCTACGCCAGCATGGGATCTCCGCTGGGCAACATGGGCGGCTGCATGGCCATGTCGGCGGCGGGACTGAGCGGCACCTACGGGGCCATGCCGCCGGGATCGCGGGAGATGGAGACGGGCTCGCCCAATTCGCTGGGCAGATCGCGCGTGGACAAGCCCACCACCTACAGGAGAAGCTACACGCACGCCAAGCCGCCGTACAGCTACATCTCGCTGATCACCATGGCCATCCAGAATAACCCCACCCGGATGCTGACGCTCTCGGAGATCTACCAGTTCATCATGGACCTGTTTCCGTTCTACAGGCAGAATCAGCAGCGCTGGCAGAACTCCATCCGGCACTCGCTGAGCTTCAACGATTGCTTCGTGAAGATCCCCAGGACGCCGGACAAGCCGGGCAAGGGATCGTTCTGGACTCTGCACCCGGACTCGGGGAACATGTTCGAGAACGGGTGCTACCTGAGGCGGCAAAAGCGGTTCAAGGACGAGAAGAAGGAGGCCATTCGGCAGCTGCACAAGAGTCCGTCGCACAGCAGTTTGGAAGCGACCAGTCCGGGCAAGAAGGATCACGAGGACTCGCACCATATGCACCATCACCACCACAGCCGGCTGGACCACCACCAGCACCACAAGGAGGCGGGCGGGGCATCGATCGCCGGGGTGAATGTGCTGAGTGCGGCGCACAGCAAGGATGCGGAGGCACTGGCCATGTTGCACGCCAACGCCGAGCTGTGCCTCAGCCAGCAGCCGCAGCACGTGCCCACCCACCACCACCACCAGCACCACCAACTGCAGCAGGAGGAGCTGACGGCGATGATGGCCAACCGGTGCCACCCGTCGCTGATCAGCGACTACCACTCCTCGATGCATCCGCTGAAGCAGGAGCCCTCCGGCTACACGCCCTCCAGCCACCCGTTCTCCATCAACCGCCTGCTGCCCACGGAGTCGAAGGCGGACATCAAGATGTACGACATGAGCCAGTACGCCGGCTACAACGCCCTCAGTCCGCTGACCAACTCACACGCTGCCTTAGGCCAGGACTCCTACTACCAGAGCCTCGGCTACCATGCGCCCGCCGGAACCACGAGCTTGTGACATCACCAATACCCGCTGGCTTAAGGACGCGCGGAGCAGATGCTGCGCTCGCAGCAGCAACAGCACTTGCAGCAGCAGCACCAGCAACACCAGCAGCACCAGCAGCAGCAGCAGCAGCAGCAGCAACAGCAGCAACAGCAGCAGCTGCAGCAGCAGCAGCAGGCGGCGCAGCAACTGACATCCGCTTCCAACACACCAGCAACATCAGCAGCCAAGGCCAGCGGCAAGGCGGGATCGGGATCGGGCTCGGGCTCAGGATCGGGATCGGGATCAGGATCGGGTTCAGGATCTAACTACTCACAGAAGCTGCACCAGCAACACCAGCAGCATCAGCAACAGCAGGCCCAGCAGCAACACCACCAGCAGCAACAGTTGCTGCAGGAGCTGCAGCAGGAGGACTCCTCGAACATCACCAGCGATCTGAGCGAGGAGCAACTGCAGCAACACCAGGCGGCGCAGCAGCAGTTGTACAACAACTACCAGCAATATGCCGCGGCGGCGGGCTACCGGAACTGGAATCACAGCCTGACTTTCAACGGGGCCGCCGCCCTGCAGAATCTGCTGTAGCTGTAGGGATCGACGGGCAGCGGCTTGGTCGCTGGCCTGCCAATTAGCGAGTGCAGTGCCAGTGGCTTTTAGCACCTGGTCGACCGCCCAGTCGCATCCTTTGAGCACGTGAGTTCTCAAGTTCTGGCCGCGACTCGCACTTGTACATATGGAGGGGCCGAGGGGTCGAGACGCTGCCTTTTTGAGTTGTCCAGTTCCAATACAAAACACCATTCTGTTCCCGGGGGGCTTAGGTTAATCCGTTAATTCGAGGAGGAGCGAAAGAAAAAGTGATGTAGTTGTAAGTGCAGCAGAACTTTTGTTAACATTTTTACGTTTTGCTAATACAAATACAAAATAATAATTCCGTGCCATTTGTTTTCGTTGTTTCGAAACAAGCAATAACAATCAAAGCGGTTATAACTAAAAATTTAAACATTTTAAATGTAACACCGAGTGGAGAACAGAAAGGTATAGAGATATATAGAGAGAGAAAGAGAGAGAGAGAGAGAAGGGATCGTGTGTAATGTTCTTTCAGAATACAAAAACCTTAACTAAAGCAGTCCCAAAAAGAGAGATACAAATACTAAATCCTTTATCCAAAGGCAATCGCAATCGAATTCGAATCGCAAATGATCAAAACCAAAAAGAAATCTAAAATCTAAATCATCATATTCAGCAGCAGCCCAGCAAACACCCTAAGAATCTTCAAACTATCTAAGCAACAAAAATCTGGCCATGCATAAGGAAACGACACGTTTTTATTGAATAATTTATCAAAATCCCATTTATATATATACGCGCATCGATATACGCCAAATGTATCGCAAAATCCCGCATTTCATTTACATTGTGTGTCTTCTGTTGTTGTACGAATTCGTTAGGCTAAGGCATTTTGTAAATAATCTATAAATAGATACCTTTAAGCAACCTCCCCCCCTCAAAAAAAAAACAAAAAAAAACCAACATAACTAAGGCCCCACTTGCAACTTTTAACTAACTCGAGAATTAATCAAATTGTATGAAATTATGCCACACCACTTGAAAGTAAATATAATATAAATATAAATATTGTATAGCATTTAACATTTAATTAGCATAAATAATGAAAGCAAAACACAAAAGGAAAAAAAAATCACATAAAAAGCGAAAAAACTGCAATTATTATTCAATAATTTTTAATATTAGTTATATTGTGCGTAATGAAAAAAACAAAAAACGAAATGCAAACACAAAACAAAGACCCATTTTTACATTGAGCTAAGCTAATTAATTAAACTTGATAAAAAATAGTCTAAATATAAACACACACTGACACAGAAACAAATGAAAATTATTGTAAAATACACAATATAAAATTCAATAAATGTCAATGCAAGAATTAAAATCCAACTCTAAAGCTAGTAAAAATTAATATTATTATAAATCATGCAAAACACAAACACAACGTCAACGACAACAAAATCGACTATTTTAATGTTTGAAATACAAGAAAAAAGGAAAAAAAAGAAATCATAAATTAGTTTTCATTTCCCAGCCATCATAGGGGACACCTTTGTTGATTTAAACAACTGACCTCCAACAATCATTTATATATTGATTGGGTTGCCTCTCTGGGCCTAGCCACTATCTACATCGACGACTATATCAATGCAACGAATTCGAATTGAACGACCGATAGCCAAACAGTTCCAGGAGACGCTATCTTATCGGTGTCACTCAGATGCAGAGTGCAGTTTTCCACTATACTGCACTCGTATGCGACCCGATGATAAACCCTTATCGCAGCGCACTCATAAATTGCAACGGAACAAGAAGGTAAACAACATCGGGATGGATGGAACCCCCGGACCTGACATACTGACTAACCCATCTCAGCCCAACCCAAACAGCCCAACAACCCATCAACCCTGCCCTCTTCCCGAAAACGGGGAGGGAAGTCGACTTTCTGCCCGCCACTATTCCATTTTGTTTGCTTTCTAGTAATATTCATGGAGCAGTACGACTACGAGTATGGAGTGCCTTCCCTATCGTGGACCTTATCTCCGCAGTATAAACAACCCACGGAGCCTGATCCGACGCAATTCCCCCTGGCGAACCAGTAACCAGTAACCATCCACCGTTGATTAACATCGGTGTGATTCATTTGGAAGAATCCACGATCCCGGGTCCTATGATTCTCGGACATTCCGTCGACATTAGAGTTCACTTATCGGGAGAAACGGCAGAGTTGGGGCATGTTTGACGAGCTGTTGTCTTTTTTAATTAAGCAGGAAGGTCACCATTTCTATATATCTATAAGCGACATTTTATTTATACATGTGCATGTGGGCGACGGACGACTGGCTTTAATACATTTTTTATAGCCTCCAACCCGACTGGAGCTGTTCCATAAAGAGCTCGCTTTGTTGTTCGCCTGGGGATGGTTGGGGAATGGGACTGGAAATGGGTCTGGGGTCTGGGGACTGGGGACTTGGTCTGGGTCTCGGTCTCGGTCTCTAAAAGCGACAACAAAATGGCGCTGGGTTTGTTGTCGCTTCAATTTCGATTTTTCCTTGACATTGTGACTGTCAGCGCTGTGGCGGAGTTTCTTCATTTTGCCCCGGCTAGCAAACAACCCCATCTGGGCTGGCTTAGGAAATCTGTGTTTTGGGGTTGGTTCGGCTAAACTGACAATCGCCCAACCACCCAACCGCCCAACCACCCACTCGAACCCCCACCGAGCCTGCCCACAATTTATATATCGATGCCCTAATGCCAGACATGCGCGCTGAAGACGCTGAAATACACGGGAGTGTGTATGACGGGGTTTCCAGAGTTTGTTGAGCTCGCTAGACAAGGCGGCCCAGCTATATTCCATATCTATATCTATTCATAAATGCCCCGTCGCACAGACACTCACTAAGCTGCCGATCCGCCATCAATTTGCAATTACTTTTGCCCAGGACAGATTTAAAATTCTATTTTCATAAACAAGTTCGACTTAAACTCTGCATGCGAAACTTGCAAAACAAAACCATTTGGAATATTGGCAAATAGGAAAAATTGTCCTGACATTCGCCTGGTCATTAAAAATTGATGATGGCCACAGTGCCATGGAAGTCATCGCATGTCTGTGAACCCCCGCATTCAATATTATGTGCATGCTTTTATTTGATAAAATGTATTATTTGCATAAGCTAAATTTACCAAAAATTCAGAGTTTAAATTGCATTCAGAGGCGAAAGTTTCAGACAGTTGTTCGGGGCATTTTATAAAGCAACCGAATTTTAGTTTTCGCTTGGTTTTCCCGCACAGAGATTGTGGCAACAAAGTTGAATTCGGTTGAGTTTCCAACCAAAAGTCCTGGCTGCTGTTGTTGCTGCTAATAAAGAACCACAATCTTGTAGTAATTTTCTAATGGAATATTTAATTTTAAAACGAGACACTGCCAAGTTGGGGCATACAAAGTGGGGGAGAATCTCTGCCAGCGTAGAAAAAGTGGTCGGGCAACCCTTTTTTCCTGAGCTTATGCCGGATGGATACACAGGAAGTAGTGCCTTTGCTATCCTCCGAGCTCCATCATCCTTCTCCCGTTTCCCCGTAAACCAAGGCTCTCAAAGACAGCGCACGTACACTGGGATAAAAAGGTGATTACGGTTACGTTAACGTGTTAATAGTGATATATACTTAAAGTGTACTTAAACATTCAACTTACAAAATATGATTGCTTAGAAGTTAAGTTAAGTCTTCCATGCACATTGCCTACCTACGTAAAAAGTTACTATTTTATATTTTAACCTCTATATTCTAATTTTCAGAAAGTAAAGATAATTTAAATATTTAGTTGCATGAAAGTTATAAGTTCATATATACAACAACATAGAAAGTTCATTACTATTTCAAGGTGATCTATGTCTTACTTGCTAACAAATTAGATCTTTAAGGATAGATCTTCCTCTTTGTCTCAGTGTATAAATCTTGTGGGTCGCAGGCTGGAGCAGCGGAGGATGTAGTCGTGGATGTCGCTGCAGGGGCAGCTCTCGCTCGGTTGGCTGGGTTGGCTGGATGGTGCCGTCTCTACGTGGAACCCCATGGACCCTCATCCGCCTCTCGGCGCTCCACTCGCTTTGTGCACTGCTTTTTCATTATAATAATACTTTGTAATTAGGTTTTCGAAAGTTAATTAAAATTCGGTTATGAAAGCGGAAACTTTCTCATGAACGCTTCCGGTTATAAAAACGCATGATGGCGGATGGGTTGAGTGGGCGTTGGAATGGCGGGGTTTTTTGGGGTTAGGCCCGGTGGGTGGGGCCAGGACCAGGCAAATGGAAAAAGAAAAAAGAAAAAAAAGGGAATGAAACAAAAAAGGATTTTCGGGCTCCAGTTGAGCTGCAGCCAGAGACAGACAGGGAATAAAAGATGGAAATGTACAAGGCCCGGAAAAACTAAGTGGGGGAGGGGGGTAACGTTCTGGTAAAAGGAAAAGGACCCCGTGAGGGCAGGAACAGACAACGTCGGCGGCGGTGGCGGTGTGGCTCTCAACTTTGTTTCGAGAAAATTTTTGTGCAAACATTTCTCTGAAATTAAAAAATACATATTATATTTTAATGAGCAAAATGGCTGCCATCCATGCGATGGTTTGCCATCCGCTGTGTTGGTGTTGTCACGTTTTAATGCCAGCCGCGCCCAGAACGCAAGGTTATGCCAGCATTGCGAACGGGATAATTAAAATGATGACTTGAAAATAAATTGCTGTTATCTCTGACCAACAGGCTGTGGCTGTGCTGTGCTGTGCTGTGCTGTTCTGTGCTCTGCTGTGACTGTGACTGTGACCCCACCCAAAACCGTTGCCGGTTGTCGATGACACGTCGATGTCGACAGCGCCACATCATTATGAAGGAAATGGGCAAATGGGGGGGGGGTCGATGTCCTTAGTGTCCTTTTGGCGCGGCCGTGCTGTGTGTGTGCTCTATCAGCGCCTGCCGCTGCTGCGTGCTTGAGAACGACACTTACGGATTAGGCCAGCAACATCAGCAGCAGCAACACAGCGCCAGCAACAGCAACACCCACCAGCAACATCCAGCGGCCAAGTGGCCCCGGTTGTCCTTTTTCCTGCTGCAGCCTGTTTCCTTGCTGCATTGTTCACTCTTTTTGTTTATCTAAAACATTCCACACATAATTAGCAGCAAAGCTCTGCAGTCTCCCCCACTTCCACCCCGGTTTTTCCACTAGCAAATTGAAATTAATCCGCGAAACCTTACGCTCCCAACTGCTGGCACGTGTCCGCCGTAAAGAGTTCCTTGCCATGGACCAAAAGTCGTGACACGCGTCGTCGTCGTCCTCTCGGCAATCAAAACATTACAAATCTCTGTGGGCTGGGTGTGAAATCTGGTGGGCATTATCTAAAAGCTTGCTGCCATACGTTTTCGGCCGATATCTTGGACTATATCTGCTGTTGATGGCCGGCAACAGCGGGCTTAGCTGCAACGTCAACGCATTAATCACGTTTCGGCATGTGGAGGTGGTATAGGGATGGGGATGGGGATGGGGGAGTTGGTGGTTGCCCATTTGTGGTTGGTGGGTGGTGGGGTGACAGTGACTGATGTACCAGGGAAGGCGGCTTATCGATTGGCAGTTCGAACACACCTTTATCGTGGAGCAGCAGCCCATTCGATTGGATGAAATTTCAGACGACCACATGGATGGCATCTAATAATCAAATTGCGTTTTGACAGGCCAACGAGTGGTGGGTGGAAAATGGGATCTAGGGAATGGGGTAACTCATTAGGAGCTGAGTATGATGAATGAACACAGAGCAGCGGATCCTGTGTGGCCAGCGGCAGAAAGTCTTATTGGATATGCTACCACGGAAAAGAGTTTCCGGAAAGGGGTCAATATTCCGGCTGATTGATTATTTATTTTTGTTTTAATTAAAACTCGCACGAAATGCACTTGCTATGTTTTTCATTTAAATGCAATTAAGTTAATGCGCCCAAACATCATCACAAACAGGGGAAAAACATTTGGCAAAAATCAAATCAAAATATCGTATTAAATTAATTCGATTTGTTTGAAAATGTATTTGCATACGCAGGCGAAATTAATGTGAAATCGGGCGTGGAAGTGGGCGTGGCAGTTCCTGTTACGGATTGCGGATAGC